TTTGCGCCTTTCTTCCGTGATTAACTTGGTGTGCCGGCGACGTGTTTAGGGATTGGATGTGTCATGCTTGGTGCGGCATTTGGTGAATTCTCCTTTTTTTTAACCTTCAGCATTGCATTTTCTGTATGGAAAGAAAGCCTGGTTAAAATAGCTGCAACTATCCCCATACATGATAAGTGCAACCATTTTTCTCAGTTTAGTGCTTAGTTGAGCTTTCTTTCTGCGCATTTTCGGTACTGGACAGTTCAAGGTTTGTTTCTCAATTTCGCTGTAGGGGTTCCATGCAAACTTGGGTGCTCAATGCAGTGATTGGTATTCCATGCACATCATACTTAATGCCTCAGTCAAAAAGATTAGTTGAGAGTTTATTGTATTATATATGCAACCAGTCAATTCTCTTCGGCGTTGGTAAATATCTATCACTAGACTTGATTGAGGGACTAATCACCATGGTAAAATCAAGGTTAAATGGAGGTACATCAAAGACTGCACAAGATGTACCCTTGCAGGTTAAAATCAAGGTTACAGGATGTACTCCTGTGTCAATCAGTCAATTATCTTCTGTATGATCTACGATGTACCCTTGCAGGATGCATTTTTTTTCATTGAATAGATGCAACCCTGTTTAGATCGGATTCTCTAGTTGTAGGAGATAGATTCAACATTTATCGGAACAATTCATAGGTTATTATTGTGCACTCAGTAACATAAGGTATTACAGTTTTGGCTGCTTTTCATATAGATGTCCACCTGATTTCCTCGCTTACTACTCCATGTGAATTGCACAATCTAAGAGAAAGATTGCTCTTCTTTGGTTTTTCCACATGCCTTCATTTTGCATTATACTCCTTCCGTCCGGAAATACTTGTCCTACAACCATTCCTAGGACAAGTATTTCCGGACGGAGGGAGTATCATTTTGCTTTTCCCCAGAGCACGTGCTTAAAAAATTAAACTTCTGAAACAAGGTGATAACATATTATAGAATATACAGATGGTGTTGATCCGCCTCTTCTTATTTATTTTCTACGGAAATGTTTTCATTTGGGTTTTGGGCATTGGAAATGTTCTTGTGGGTGGCGATTTTTATGCTTTGAGTTAGATGACATTGTTTTTTTCATTATACCATCACATATGCACCCTAAGAGAAAATGAGTCTACAAGACACTAAATGTGACCATCTATGACAATACCTTTATATTCTTTTGCACTATAGAGGAACTAGTAACACATGCATGCATATTACTAGTCTAAATTACTCCCCACTATGACCAGTCTAAAATGGGATGTGATCTGCCAATTAAATGAGTACTCCCTCCATTCCATAATGTAAGACGTTTTTTGACACTACACTAGTATCAAAAAACGTATATTATGGGACGGAGGGTGTAGTTTACAAAACAATATTGTTACTTGGAGTAATAGGAGTATAATGGCTTACTTTGGTCTTACATCAGTTCAATATATGACAATCTTCCTTTCTGTAATAATCATAGCTAATCCTGTTTGAGCTACTAATTAATTTGTTGACTCCACTAATTACTGATGTAGCAAGTACTGTAGTTCGATTTAGTTGCTTCATCTTCCACAGTATTAAATCGGAGTTATGAATCGTGGCCCGTGCTGAAAACTAAGAGGAGACACCAAATAGGCAAGTCAGTTTTACTATTGTCACATTGTGCTACTATACTAAACCAGGAAAGCAGACACGTGTGCGTGTTGTTTAGACGTATCTCTGTTTCAGTGCTCTGCTTGGTCTGTTTACGCGAGCATAGTATTCTGAAAGTAGAGTAGTACGTGCTCTGTTTCACTCTTACCATGATGAAGAAACAATATGGTATTCTGAATCCCAAGCACATACACTGCACGTCCACTCCCCAAAGAATTTTTACTTTAGTTTTAGTAGTGTGCTCAACCTGCTTCTATTTACACGCATCTGATCGAGTTTCCTTCCTTATGTGCAGCCTACACAGCCTGAAGGCTGGGGCGAGCTGCCATGTGATCTGATAAAGCGGATTGTCAAGGATTATCTGTCTTGTGGAATCGACAGACTACGCCTCTCATGGATCAACCCGCACTGGGGCAAGACCATCTGCGATATGAAGCTGCCAGAACTGCCGTGGATGTTCCTTCCTTCAAGCAGCACTCCGATGTTTTTCGAACCTGTGACTCGGTGCCTGCACAAGATCTGGCTTCCGGCTGCACTTAAGAGTGGGCGGCTGTGTGGGTCACGGGGGCCATGGGTATTCATCAGTACTAAGGACCCGGAGCCACAATTCACTCTATACAACCTATGCAATGGAGAGAAGAGAGGTCGCATTGACCTGCCGTTGACGATACTGGACAAGCAAGGGGTGACTCGCTGCGCCAGGGTTGAGATGGCAGCCCTCTCACTCCCCCCTTCAACCGCTGGGTACACGGTGGCTGCCGTGGTACACATTGGCCAATCCCTTGATTACACCATAGCGACGTGGGAGTTCAAGGAGGATCACTGGACCGAGATTGGGAGTGCAGCAGACAGGGTGCTGGACATTTTGTTCTATCAGGGCTCCTTCCACTTCCTCACGTCCAATGAAGATCTCATCAGGCTTGTTCCGGAGGGCCCCTCCTTCAGAATGGTGAGGTATCATGTTGAGTTACGCTCGAGCAAACCGCTGGATGATCTCTATGAAGCTCAGGATGGTACCATGCTGAGGAGGTACCTGGTGGAGTCCACAGCAGGACATCTTCTGTTTGCCGTGAAGAAGACTCATTGTAGCAAGAGGACGGTTGATATCAAAGTTTTCCGTCTGTCTGTTGACGATGCCGGCCAGGCCACATGGGTCCACTACAAGAACACAGCGGGTGAAATGATTTACCTAGGTCAGGCTTCTTCCATATCATGTGTCACTCAGTCTGAGCCCACTATCCATTTTCTTGATGACCGTCTGGTGAAGAGCGAGGATGAGGCGGATCGCTACCACAGGAGGGACATGGGAGGGTTGCGACCCCATGTCCTCCAGGTTAGTTGGTACAGTTACCGAACACCAAACGAGGAATCCAGGTTCAGCTATCGAGCACCAGATGACATAGGAGCGACTGACGTACCAACACCGGTTTGGTGCGAGCCCCAGTCTGATGGATTTACCATGTGACTGACTGCCACTCCTGTGACCATCATCGTCAATGCTTAGTCCAGCTCCGCTTGTTTTCATGGATTGACATTACCCTTTTCTCTCTTTACTCATTATATATATAGAGAGAGTGTGCTAGCTGTATGTGGATTCTGCTTTCTAGGATTGCAATTCCTGGAAAAGGGGAATTTCCGAGTATTGGTTCTACCATGTTAGTGACCGTCACTCCTGTGACTATCATCGTCTCTCTGCTTGCGTAGTCATAATGCGTCCTTTCAGATTTTGCTTGTATGAAAGGTGATTGTTACATGGTTAGTAATAACAGAGACAATTCTAGTGATTTTTGTTCCATTGGAGCTTGGACATCAACGCTTTAATATGCTGACCAGAATTAAGTGTTTATGACTATAGAATGCGTCTTCATGCCAGCTTGATATTTCTCGAGCATTTGACTCCCTTTCATGGCCATTCCTCAAGCACATCATGGAAGACTTGCAACTGGTGCGTTTTTTCTGAGGCATCTGGACTACAAATCGACTACAATAAGACCTCGGCGGTGCTCATCCGAGGGAATTACAGTATTAAGGAGAGAGAGTAGCGAACACACTTGGCTGCAGCGTTGCTAAGTTTCCAATCAAATACCTGGGGCCGTTAATTGACTCGGTGAGAGCAGTGGCGCTTGGGTGGCGGAGGGTTTCTTGGAAGGGTCTGGTCGTTTGGTTTTGGTCAAGTCTGTCATCTCAGCGAGAATGCGTCGGCCTGGGTGTTTGAGGAAGTCAACAGTGAGGCATTTGGTTGGTCGCATCTATACCTGGCCAAACCTCGGGCCCGGCCGGGCTTCGGGCTGGGCCTAGCCAAGCCTGACACAAAAAACCTAGGCCCGGGCCTGGCCCGGCCATCGGGCCTGTGTTTCTAGGCCTGAGCCCGGCCCGAACACGTAAAAGCCCGTCGGGCTCCGGGCTGGCCCGGCCTGACCTTCAGAAAAATACAAAAATAACGGGCCCGGGCCCGGCCTTCGGGCTCAAAAACTAGGCCCGAGCCCGGCCCAGGGGCAGCGTCGGGCCGGGCCGAGTCGGGCTTCCCATGGCCAGACTAGTCGCATCGCCCTCAACCAGGCCTGTGCGGAAAGAAATCGGCCTATTTGGTTGGTTGGGCCGCACGAAACTCAAAGAATCTCTAGGCCTGCATTGTTGGAAACACTTAATTTGACTGTTTCCAGCGAGCCACGTGGGTGGCTCTCGTGGTGCAGTCTCGTGTTGGCTGCACCACAACACTACTTTGATAATCCTGATAAATACTCATTCAATTTGATCTTGAGTGGGGGCCTTTAGTCCCGATTTATTTGTCTCATTTGGTGACCCGGAACTAAAGGCCCTTCCCAACTGGGACTAAAGGCCGTCCTCTACTAGTGTAGTATCCTCCTTGTTCCTGTTGGCTACATTTTATACTTGTTCGAGATCGACAGAACAAATGATCGAACTATCTCTTTGCATTAGATGAAGTGCTATATATAGCACTGGAACAAGCGTTTACAAAGGGGGTGTCGGTTCAGACAGAACCGACGCAACGGTTGGAGAAGTAACCTCCAACGGTTAATACAAGCAGGGATTAATCCCTTAATTACTATGTTAATTAATCTTAACACCCCCCTAATCCATGCTTGTCTAGGTAGCATCATCATCTTGAAAGAGACTCCTCCAAAAACCCTGTGGGAAAAATATGGGGAGTATAGAGTTTGATATGTTGCCAAAACTCCTTCAAACCCAATGGGAAAAATAAGGAGAAAATAATGCACCATATAATGGTTATTGTCTCTTTTAACTCAATACGAGAAAAGCCGTAGAGTTCAGAGGACAATAAATATGTTGTATATAGTTTCCCAAAAACCCCGGTGAGGAAAACAGAAAGTATGACATATGATCTCATGTTGATATTACCCCATTAAAAATCTTTATGAGAACCTGTATAGTAAACTCATGAAGGGAAAAAGAGTATAATATGATGCATTGAACAGGAACAATTTAGGAAGATACTCCCCCTGATTCTTGCATATTCCGAAGTTGTCATATACCGAGACTTGGTGAACAAATCAATTGCATGATTTGGCTTGCAAGATATGCAATATAGTGATATTGCTTATTATGTAACTTGTTTGCATCTGGGCAACACAAGAAACATTATCGTTGAGATAATGGTTGGTGGATGTAGCCATGAAGTCTGTTTCAAAGACTCTTCATCAGACGGCTACCACACCTACTAGAAACACTAAGCTTGTCTACGATCTGACATAGTGGGGATCTGATCGATGTATCCAATAATATCGGTGTTCACATTGCTGTGAAACTGAAAAACTGTTGGAAATATGCCCTAGAGGCAATAATAAAATGATTATTATTATATTTCCTTCTTCATGATAATTATCTATTGTTCATGCTATAATTGTGTTATCCGGAAATCGTAATACATGTGTGAATACATAGACCACAACATGTCCCTAGTGAGCCTCTAGTTGACTAGCTCGTTGATCAACAGATAGTCATGGTTTCCTGACTATGGACATTGGATGTCATTGATAACGGGATCACATCATTAGGAGAATGATGTGATGGACAAGACCCAATCCTAAGCATAGCACAAGATCGTGTAGTTCGTTTGCTAGAGCTTTTCCAATGTCAAGTATCATTTACTTAGACCATGAGATCCTGTAACTCCCGGATGCCGTAGGAGTGCTTTGGGTGTACCAGACGTCACAACGTAACTGGGTGACTATAAAGGTATACTACATGTATCCCCGAAAGTATCTGTTGGGTTGACACGGATCGAGACTGGGATTTGTCAATCCGTATGACGGTGAGGTATCTCTGGGCCCACTCGGTAATGCATCATCATAATGAGCTCAATGTGACCAACTGTTTGGTCACGAGATCATGCATTACGGTACGAGTAAAGTGACTTGCCGGTAACGAGATTGAACGAGGTATTGGGATACCGACGATCGAATCTCGGGCAAGTAACGTACCGATTGACAAAGGGAATTGTATACGGGATTACCTGAATCCTCGACATCGTGGTTCATTCAATGAGATCATCGTGGAACATGTAGGAGCCAACATGGGTATCCAGATCCCGCTGTTGGTTATTGGCCGGAGAGCTGTCTCGGTCATGTCGGCATGATTCCCGAACCCGTAGGGTCTACACACTTAAGGTTCGGTGACGCTAGGGTTGTAGAGATATTAGTATGTGGTAACCCGAAAGTTGTTCGGAGTCCCGGATGAGATCCCGGACGTCACGAGGAGTTCTGGAATGGTCCGAAGGTGAAGAATTATATATAGGTAGTCCAGTTTCGGCCACCAGAAAAGTTTCGGGGGTCACCGGTATTGTACCGGGACCACCGGAAGGGTCCCGGGGGTCCACCAGGTGGGGCCACCTATCCCGGAGGGCCCCATGGGCTGAAGAGGGAGGAGAACCAGCCCTTGGTGGGCTGGTGCGCCCCCCTTGGGCCTCCCCCTACGCCTAGGGTTGGAAACCCTAGGGGTGGGGGGCGCCCCACTTGGCTTGGGGGGCAAGTCCTGTTGGGGAACGTAGCAGAAATTCAAAATTTTCCTACAAGTCACCAAGATCTATCTATGGAGAGACTAGCAATGAGAGAGAGGGGAGTTCATCTACATACCCTTGTAGATCGCTAAGCAGAAGCGTTACAAGAACGCGGATGAAGGAGTCGTACTCGTAGCGATTCAGATCGCGGTTGATTCCGATCTAAGCGCCGAACAACAGCGCCTCCGCGTTCAACACACGTGCAGCCCGATGACATCTCCCGTGCCTTGATCCAGCAAGGGGAGAGGGAGAGGTTGGGGAAGACTCCGTCCAGCAGCAGCACGACGGCGTGGTGGTGTTGGAGGAGCGTGGCACTCCAGCAGGGCTTCGCCAAGCACCGCAAGAGACGAGGAGGGAGAGGGGTAGGGCTGCGCCAAGAGGGAGATGTTCTCATGTGTATGGCAGCCCCAAACCCCCACTATATATAGGGGAAAGGGAGGGGCTGCGCCCCCACCTAGGTTTCCACCCCTAGGGGTGGCGGCCAGCCCTAGATCTCATCTAGGGGGGCGGCCAAGGGGAGAGAGGGGGGGCGCACCACTAGGTGGGCCTTAGGCCCATCTGAGCCTAGGGTTTCCCCCTTTTCCCTTCTCTCTTCGCCTTGGGCCCTGGTGGGGGTGCACCAGCCCACCTGGGGCTGGTCCCCTCCCACACTTGGCCCACGCAGCCCTCTGGGGCCGGTAGCCCCACCTGGTGGACCCCCAGGACCCTCCCGGTGGTCCCGGTACATTACCGATAGCACCCGAAACTTTTCCGGTGACCAAAACAGGACTTCCCATATATAAATCTTTACCTCCGGATCATTCCAGAACTCCTCGTGACGTCCGGGATCTCATCCGGGACTCTGAACAACATTCGGTAACCACGTATATCTATTCCCTATAACCCTAGCGTCATCGAACCTTAAGTGTGTAGACCCTACGGGTTCGGGAACCATGCAGACATGACCGAGACAACTTTCCGGCCAATAAGCAACGGCGGGATCTGGATACCCATGTTGGCTCCCACATGTTCCATGATGATCTCATCGGATGAACCACGATGTCAAGGATTCAATCAATCCCGTATACAATTCCCTTTGTCTACCGGTATAGTACTTGCCCGAGATTCGATCGTCGGTATCCCGATACCTTGTTCAATCTCGTTATCGGCAAGTTTCTTTACTCGTTCTGTAACACATCATCCCGCGATCAACTCCTTGATCACATTGTGCACATTATGATGATGTCCTACCGAGTGGGCCCAGAGATACCTCTCCGTCACACGGAATGACAAATCCCAGTCTCGATTTGTGCCAACCCAACAGACACTTTCGGAGATACCCGTAGTGCACCTTTATAGCCACCCAGTTACGTTGTGACGTTTGGTACACCCAAAGCATTCCTACGGTATCCGGGAGTTGCACAATCTCATGGTCTAAGGAAAAGATA